ACTCTTAAAATGCTTAATGAGCCTCCCTTCTTCTCTTCCGTGCTGCCTGGTATAATGTTCTGGCTGTGATCTTTCAGGGAAATAATTGGATTAGTCACGGTCTCCAGAGAGAGCAGTGTCAATAGAGGTAGATGTGTGTCTGTGTGAGTATTGTGAGAAGTAGGCTGGCAAGTCTCAACTCTGCAGAGCTTCTGTTCTGGAGACCAGCAGGCTGCGGTAGATCCCTGGAGAGCTGATGGGCATTCTGAAGGCTGCCAGGCAGGAGGTGGCCTTGTGCTCTAGCCAGGCCTTCAACTGATAGGATGTGGCCCACCCACACTGGTGTGTATAACCTGCTTTACTCAGTCTACACACTTCTAGATGGAATATAGAGAAACCAAAGGGTCAGACAACTTTAAAACCAATCCTTGAAAACTGAGCTCAGATCTCAGGCATCCAAAAGGGGAGAGCATGGGGTGAAAGGGGGAAGATGCAGAGAGGGAGAGAGCATAGTGGACTATGGTGGAGGATTATGGGTGCTCTTTGGTGGTGGGAGAGCTATGGTGACCGTCACTGATGGGAGAAAATAGTAACAAGGATGTAAACCAAGTCTACTTCATTAAAAAAAAAAAAACAAAACTTAAATATCACCATAGCATTTAGGGTGGGAATTAGCGGCCCTACGAGTTTCCTCTGGACGCCCGTTGAGTTTCTCATACTGGGCATCAGACCCCAGCCCGCTTCACTGTGCTCGGTTCCCATTAAGGGAGATAAATCTGAAGCACCTCCTTGACCAGGGGCGTGAGAGCAGGAGCTTAAGGATGAAGAAGTACTTACTGTTTTCTTCTCTGCCCAGGAGGATGCGAGTTAGTGGTGATGGCACAGAGCTTGAATGATCTGTAAACTCGAAGGAATTTCAGTTTTAGGGCAACAGGAAGTCGGGACTACTTCTGACCCTGACCGAGGGGAGCCCTGTTTACTCTGGGTCGACTCCCATCCTCGCCTCCCGGGCCAGGGGCTCTCTACACAGTACAGTCGGGCTTGGGGGCACTGGAAGGCAGTTACCTGAGTGATGTAGCCACAAACAAAATAGAATCATTCTTCTTTGTTGTAGTTTCCCTCTTTTTCCAGCGAGGAGAAAAGATGTTCCTTTCAACCTCATTGTGAGGGTTTCAGCCACACAAAGAGCTGGATTTTTGATCACTCCTCACATTCCTATCACAGCTGGCTGGGAAATAAAATATCTTTCATCTAGATAAACAAAGTCAGAAAATTAGTAGCCAGAAAGATACACTCGTTTTATTACCCTATTTCTGAAACTAAACAAAACACAGACTCTGTAAAAGGCAGGTTTATGTGGTTGGAAGAATGGAGAAGACCCCTGGGGGGAACTGGGAGGCCTACAGGAGCTGGTCGAGAATGGGCTGATTGTGGGGTGCTGATGCAGTGGGCCCCTATCTCATCAGCTTCCCATTGGGGTGGGGGGTGAGGGGCCTCTGTGAATCTGGGCCAGGCATCGCCCTGCAGAGGGGCCCTCAGAACCTCGCCACCTAACCCCAGGATGGATCCCCCCACATCAGCCCCCAATGCTCCTCTTGCCCAGACACTCCCTGGGTTCTCTGTTACCTACACTTCTGGCCCTGCCTACTTCCGGCATCATTTCCCAGGCCCGTCTCCCACTAACTTTCGGGGCGCTCACTATATGCCAGGGGATGTGAGTGGCTCTTGCCTCGACTGGTTCATTTCACCCTCACAGCAACTCCGCCAGCTGGGCACTGTGCTTCGGTCTCCATTTTACAGAAGATGAGAATGAGGCACACAGGTGCCTGGCACCCCGGGACGGCTAGGGCTAAGTCAGAAACCCAGGCATCGTGCTCTGGCTACCAGGCCAGCTACGAGGTCGGGCTCAGAGGCCCCACATTCATAATAATAATGTTAATAATTTTTAAATGAGGGAATCTTAAAATGAGGTTAAATTCACAGCATGTTTGAGATGATCGTCTTGAAAAATATGGACACTTTTTAAATTTTAATACTTTATTTTTGCATCATTTTGTGCCTTTTCCCATCTCAGTTGTAATCCTTGTGGGCTTCCCATCACCAACTCACCCACGTGCCATCACCATAGTCCCAATGCACTTCCCTACTCCCCATTTATTATCTTATTCCCCACTCCACCCCTGGCATATAGTTGTTCATCATTATTATTATTTTTTACCCCCTGGTCCTTTATGCTCCTGCTATGAGTGAAACCATGCGGTATTTTTCTTTATCTTTCTGGCTTATTTCACTAAGCAGGATCCCTTCCAACTCCATGCATGTTGCTGCAAAAGGCATGCATTTATCTTTTTGATTGCTGAGTAATATTCCATTGTGTCTATGGACCACATCAGAAATATATGGAAACTTGCAATTTTAATACACAAACTTGCCATGCACATGGAACAGGACATGACCCACACCGGCTTGGGGTCCAGAGCTGCCTGGTCATTAATGGTTGCCTCAGGAGAGCCTTTGCCTCCAGGGCTGCCTGCCTGCTATTGTACTCAGGCACCCTGGGGTGGCAGGGAGCTTCCCAGCCTCTCATAGGGCCTCCCATGCCAGCCAGGCCTTTCGCAGTGGTCTGAGCACAGCGCTGCCCTTCCCGGCACTCACACCTTTCCCGCCTGGGCCTCTCATCTACCCTTTCATCCCTTCTCCATGTCGGTCTGTGTCCCATGAAATCTTTCCCATCACCAACTCCTACTGGAACTCCAGGCCCTTCCCGACTGAACCCCAGATGTCACCTTCGGTGATGTTTGCTCCCGGTCGCATGTTCTGTCATCTAGGGATGCTAACTTAGTGGGGTGTCACCTCCTGGAGGGCAGGGGGGCCTGTCTTGCACATTCACAGTCACTGTAGCGCATGGCTGTGTCCCTCCCAACTCCCACACAGATGCCAGCGGCCGACAGCCCAGGCTCATGGCACGTGAGAGCGCTGTGGCCAGGCCAGTGAGACTCCCCATTCAGCAAAAGTCTTCAGAGGTGAGCCCTGTGCTCAGCCCTGGCTGAGGGCTCTGGGTGGACATGCATGGATAAGGCTTGGCCCACGTCCTCAGAGAGGAGTGGAAGACACTCACACCAGACAGCAGGGCTTTGAATCATTTAGTCATAGATGAATATGGATTTTATCTTGGTAAAACACACACACACACAGTCATTTCAATAGACATCGTGTTGCTTAAAGTCACAGATTCCGAGTACCTGTTGCTGAAGTTGTAGGGCCTGCGGGTACCTGAACAGAAGAGCTCTCTCATGTTTGTGAGGAGCAAAAACCCAAGCCACAGGCATCCCAAGCATGGAGGTCGCATCTGGCGGGGGTGAGAAGGCTGGAGAAGGCTCTGGAAGTGGCCTTGGGGACAGGGCCCCCTGGCCAGCTAGTCAGCAGGCATTACTGTGAAGCCCAGGCCACTGGCGGCCTTTCTTCTGGGAAAAGGCCCAAGAGGGCTTGCTGCAGCCTCTTGCGGGTAGGTAGACTCCAGGTGGCCTGCAGCCTGTGTCTGCCCAGGCTCTGCAGAAAGCCCAGAATGATCACAGCACTAGAAGTGGGAAGCCGGGGAGGCTCTGTGTGTGACATGGAGACCACACCTCAGCCCCTACAACCTCATCTACAGGTACTTGGAATCTGTGTCTTTAAGCAACATGATGTCTGCTGAAATGACTGGGTTGGTTTGTGTTCCCGACTGGACCCCGGAGTGTCACCCTCAGTGATGTTTGCTCCCGGTGGCCTGTTCTGTCGTCTGGGGGTGCTAACTTAGCAGGGTGTCACCTCCTGGAGGGCAGGGGGCTTGTCTTGCACATTCACAGTCACTGCAGCACATGGCTGTGTCCCTCCCACACACAGATGCTAGCGGCTGACAGCTCAGGTGCATGGCAGGTGAGGGCCACTGCGGGATGTGCAGCCTTCAACTGGGTGGAGTCTGGGGGCCAGGGAGCAAAGATGGGGGGGAAGGCAGGAACCAAACTTTAGAGATGGAGTGTTAAATGCCTTCTACTCTGCTAAGCACTGAGCTAAGACTCTGGACTCTAGAAGGACCAGAGTGAGCAGCAAGGTAAGGACCATGCACGTGTTGATGCTTCTGTGCAGGTGAGGGAATCAAGTCCAGTGGCGGTGAAGCCACCCTAGTGGGAGGATCTCATGGAAGCAAGTTGGGGCCTGGGGGACCTGGTTCTCTGACCGGGGGACCCGTTTCTCTGACCGCAGCCACAGCACCAGCCACGTGTTATGGCAATTGTGCTGCTCACCACCCTGCCCCTCCCCAGAGACCTCAGTGTTTGTTGACTGTTTCTGCCTTTGGAGGACCATCCCATTAAGTAGTAAGAGCAAACTGTCAAAATGTGGGTCTGTGATATGCATGGTGTGCAGCAGCGGTTTTCAATGTGTGGCCCCAGAATTGCAAGGGCTTCACGCCAAGCTCATTGAACGAAAAGTGGGTTTTGCAAAGATCTCCGGCAAGGAATTTAAGACTCATTAACCCATTGGAATTCAAAACATCCCTGTGTCTTCGCCAGCTGCCTGCACACACTCTCCCACCTCTCCAGCAGCTCTGAGTCTGGGGAAAGTTGGGCAGGGGGCCCCTACTCAGCTGGGGTTCTGCAGCAGGTCAGCATGAGCGACTGAGGAAGAGGGTCAGCGTGTCTCTGGTGGCAGCACAGCCAATGGGCAGAGGGGGTGCCCGGGGGTGATGAGGGTGGGGAACCCATTCCAGGGACACATTGGTACGCACCAAAAGCAAGTAGTGTAATACACATGTAAGATGGACAGTCTGCTGGTTCCGATCTCCTCACTTTTGAAAGATAATTTTAGATTCACAGAACAGTTACAACGAATTTCCCGTTGCACCCTCGCCGGTTGCCTCGAATGGCTTAGCTCCTACGGTATTTCTGTCCAAACGAAGATATCAGTGTTGACCTGTTACTGCTGCTAAACTCCAGATTCCTTGAGTTTTCCCACGAATGCCCCATTTCTGTTCCAGGATCCAAGACTCCTGATTCAATGTAGTCGCCGTGGCTCCTCAGCTTCCCGATCTGCTGTAGTGTCTCCTGACTGCGACCATCTAAACAAGGACTGGCCGGGTGTTTGCAAGAGAGGTCAGCCTGGAAAAGTCCTGTGATTGTCCCCAAAGATGGTATGTGGTCTTTTGGAATTTCCCAAATATTTTTTAAAAGATTTATTTATGCATACAGAACTGGGGTGCAGCGGAGATGAGAGGATCCACCAGAGACAGAGTGGGGAGCAGAACAGGCAGATTGATGGAATATGCTGCTGAGGGGAGCAGTGGGGAGACAGGAGAGGTCTGTTGTGCCCTGTGGGTCACCTCCGGGGCCGGGAATCGAACTTGCGTGGAAGCAGCTGTGGCCAGCTTGCAGTGCTGCACTTGAACCCATTGCACCACCGGGGGGGGGGGGGGACTGAGGAATTTCCCAATTTTCTAATGTTACTGGTGGATAAATGTTGGGCACGCCTGGTCTGCATGTCCAGCTCCAGGGTGGCCGCTGACATCAGGGCTGAGAATGCTGGTGTCCCTGTATGTCCCAGTCTCTGTGATGACAGCCCAGCCGACATTAACATGCCACAGCTGCCATACAAGTCAACCCAAGCTTGTGTGCAAGGCCCGTCCAGCCACGTGGCTCTGGCCCCTGAGGTTCCTTGAGGGACAGTGGTCCTGGTCTACCCTTCCCCCCTCCACTCCCTACCCTCACCATGGCTTTGGGAAGCAACATTTTAGTTTCTGTGTTCTGTGTAGTTCCCTCTGGCTGCTGCTTACTAAATCATATTGTTTGATCTGTAGCATTTTCCTGTGGCATTGCTGTATCTGACCCTGGTGATCTTGATCAGGTAACCTGCAGAGAGATTCTTTTTCCCAGAGGTGGATTGAACAGGTGAGTATCTGCCAGCTTGATAATGAACTTCAGTCCCTCAGGGCAGGAGTCTATTTGGAAAACAATCCCAGTCTATGGCTGGTTTAAGAGAGACTTTGAAAAATCCCAATGGGACAGTAGCGACCAGTTTTGGGGGCAGGTCTGCAAGGTTGAGTCTGTCCTCCTGGCCAGAGGTGGGGTGAAAATTCGCTCATCATTAACCATTACAGCCCTGGTCACTGTGGCATCGGGAATGCTGCTTGTCTGACTTTCACTCGGCCACTGTCACCCTCTCCCCTGGACAGGGAGGGCACCATTGCATGGTGGTGGTGGTGGTGGTAGTGGGGGGGGGGGAGGGGCCGGTCACTTGCCCAAGATCATGGAACCGCTTAGTCTTCTGTCTGAGTTTTACCCCAACTGTCTGGGTCAGCTCTTTAACGGAGGAACCTCCATGAAAGGGGGCGGCTCCAAGTTCCTTGTCCCACCTAGTGAAGGGTGAGGCTGAGTGGTGAGGGGAAGCTCAAGACATTCTCAGTTTTGGACTTGGGGCACTTGGAGTCGCGCGGCATGAAGGTGACTTAGAGACACATGAAAGAGACGTGGCGCAAGACACGTGGGGCTGACAATGGCAACTGCATCTTGATTGTCCTTTGTGTTTGCTCCGTCACCCCGACTTGCCAGGCCTCTCTGCTCTTCCCAATGGGTCCCCGCTAGAAGGTGCCTGAGACGTGTGGTCAGTTTTTGGGCCTTAGTGGCCCAACAAACCCTGTTTGGCTGGGCATTTATGCATGAGGGGGGACAGGTGATTTTGGGTGTTTTTCTGGAAATCCATACCCCTTCGCTCCTTCCTTCTCATTCTACTAAAGATCATGCACACGAAGAATCTGCGTTGTCTTTATGCGGCAGATGGCAGCATCCCTTCAGAGTATGTAGTTTGGTACCCTTGGTACGCCCGCAGACATTTATGGGCTCTAAACTGCTGGGAGTGGCGGAGAACCGTGCGATGTGGCCTGGGAGGAGGTGCCGCCTGGCGGGTGAAAGCTTGGAGGAAGGGTAACAGGACTTGGAGGTTGTGGCCCAGGGGGCTTGCGTTCAGTTCCATGAGACCCCTCCCAAGTATGTGGAGCGCTGACAATTTGCACTTTTGCCTCTGGGGTTATCAGTCAATACAGAGAAAATAGCGGGGTGCCAGGTTCTCATGAAAAAGCCAGCTGTTAAAACCTCGCTGTTTCCCCTTGCAACTTCTTGGTGCAAAGACTGAAGACAGAGTGACTTTTTGCGCCGGTAGAGTGATGTCCTCCACCTCGGGGTGGCACTCGGGGCTTTTGCAAAGCCCCGATCGCCTCTCTGGTCTGAAGCCTACAGGCGCGGCTAGGTGGGCCCTGCGGTGTACTGCTCACTGCAGAAATGTTACAGTTGTTGTTTGTCCTTATCTACATAAACAACATAACTTTGTCAGAAAATTGAAAATGTGCACTTTGTCCCATCAGCTAAAATGGGCTGTCAGATAAGGCTTTTTCCCTCCATTGCATCCGATGAATGATGTAATGGTTTTGGGCTTTGGAGTTTTTTTTTTTTTGTGAGGCACTAGAGTAAATGATCAGAGTAGTAACATTTTTAACCTTATCTATCATACTGAAACATTTTTTCTGCCTCCAATAAAACATGTCAGAGTCGATTAAGGACATTTTTCAATGAGGTATAATTCACAGATTTTAGTGGCAAATCCAAGAGCGCTCAAGTATTCAAGAGGCTGTGAATACTTAATTATGGACATGTTTCCATGCTACTTTTCTCTGCTTTGCCGAATGCCCTGCACTTCGGCTCTGAGAGGCCCCTCTCGGCTGATGGCGGGGCTGGAGGAGAGGCAGGTAAGATGGCCAGGGACGTGTCACATTGTATCTGGTGACAGGGCCGTGAAAGATACGGCGGCTCAGCGTGTTTGCGGCGCTTATCTGGTACATGAGTGCACATTACTTCCCAAAGACCGGGATCACTTTGGACAGTATCATTAAATGCCACGTCATTACCTGTTATGGAGCAGTGCTTTAGCTTCAACGGCCTCTTGGGACACGTGCAACAGTCAGAAGAATGATGGGCGAAGATGGAGGCGGCATTAAATTTTCAATGGAAGCAGTATTGGCTTTGACTTTTCAGAAGCCTTATCTGTTAGATGGTGTTTGTCACTGGGCCGCGGAGCTCTGGATGTTCGTCAGTTGGAAGTTGCAGGCAGTTGAACGATGTGGACAGGTGAAGGCTCCATGGGGACTGGCCCGGCTCGCGGAGAGCTGGAGGGGGTAAATTGAAGGTTTATTTATCCCATTCGCTGTCAAGGTCAGCTTGCTAGAGAGCTGTCCTATGGATGCTTACAAATGCCAAAATCCTGGCAAATTGTCGGAAAGAGTCTCCAAATCACTGACCTTTGTACAGCTCCCATCAACAGGCCCGTGGCTCTGAGCTGGGTCCTTAGAGGGAGTTAAATGGTTGGTAAAATGAGGCTGATTCTGTTGCTGTAATGTCAGCCGAGATGCTATGTATTTTTTATTTTGGTGTTTTCAGCAACAGGGATGAAGTCAAGGAAGTGACTGCAGGAGGAGGGAGAAGGGCTGCGGAGAATGATTTTGTAGCTGGGCAGAGCAGCCTGCTTGGGCTTCTAGATTTAAGCACTTCTCGAGGTTTGAGTCTGTGGCTTTGCGGTGTCTCTGCTGATGTTTCTCGTTGGAAATCACAGCTCTTTTTGACGCTCCCTCTCCCCACCCAGGACCTGCTGTGCCACCCGGTCTCTCAGGCAGCCGTGGCCTCCTGCTGGATCTCTGGCCTGACTTGTCTGTGACAGCCCAGTTAAGAAGGCAGGATCTCACCGACCTGTGGTCTCTCTTCCTTTAATTGAGGGTGGGATTTACTTAAGTAACATTGAGGTGACAGTTAACCCAGGCTAGAGGTGACTGTAATTCAGAAACACCCTCAATTTAGACGGTTACTCATCCATTAAAAAGAATGCCCTAGGGCCTAGCCTGATGGCTGGATGAGGAGACACAGGCTCCCAGGAGAGACAAGTATGTGAATTTTACGATCAGATCTTGCAAAAGAATAAAGCGGTTCTCCACCCAAGGGTTCCAGGTAAAATACAGATTACTTAATAAAGGTAAATTTGAGTTTCAAATAAATAATATAGGATTGGAACAAATTGTTTTACAAAGGACCCGTTGTTTATCTAAAATTCAAATTGAACGGTGTGTTGTGCGTTTGTCTGCGGGAGAGAGCAGCTTCCTCTCTGCTGGCATGTCGTGGGTGTGCTTGCTGGGCGTATGTACGCATGATGCCCATCAGCATACACACATGAATTTGTATGTGGTCACCCTGGGGGGAGGCAGGAGGCACCATCTGGATAACTAACGAGGATTTTTGGAAGGGGTTGCACAGGGGTTGGCATCAAAGTGTGTGGTGGAGAAGCTGGTGGGATAGGAGTGGTGAGGGGCAAGCCTGAGCGTGGGGGTCATTCACCCCCTTGCCACTCTGAAGGCCTTCTCGGCTTGCTGTGTCAGAGCCCGGGCTGGAGAGCCCAGGCTTCCCTGGGGGTGGCCGAGGGCTCCGGTGGTGGCCCTGAGGGGCTTGCAGGAGGTGCCTGCTCAGGCTGGCATCAGCTGATTTGGGGTAAGAAATAAAAGGTTGCAGCCCACCGAGTATGCTTTACTCTGGGAACTCCTGGTCTCATATGCCACCCCTACCCCCGGGAGGGCCCCTGAACTCAGGAACAATAAAGATGTCCTCTCAGCACGTCTGGGAGCCTGATGGAGGGCAACGGGGAACAGTCTTTGGGGGTGCTGTGTTCCAGCTCTCTGTCTGGTGCTGAAGGCAGTCGCTACTACTATTTATAAGAAGGTTCGAAACTCTCCCTATTTCCAAATTCAATTAAAGAGCTGTTAATACGTCCCAGGTTTGTTGTAATGAGCCCATAACTGAAACTGACATCATTATCAATTCAAACCAAACACAAACTCTTCGTCTTCTGCTTCCTCAGGGGGCCCCCCAATTTCCCTGAGCCCCAGCCCCTCCTTGGCCAGAGATTTTTTCTTGTAAATAGAAAGGGTTCTGCAGAGCTCTCCTTCCCCACGCCACCATACTCCCTTTAGTCAAATGAGATGTAAATAATCATGGTTCTGGAACATTCTTTTCAGTGGATGCTGTCCCTTTTCAGATTTCTTTCAGGAAAGAAGCAACTGTGCAGACCCTAGTGAGTGGGGATTTTCTGTGTCCTCATCAAATCTTGGGTGTTCTGTGACCCCCCGGACATCAGTTTCTTTCTTTCTTTCTTTTTAAAGATTTATTTATTTTTGCATACAGAACTGGGATAGAGGTCAGAGGTGTGTGTGTGGGGGGGGTGGGGGGTGAGAGGATCCACCAGAGACAGAGTGGGGAGCAGAACAGGCAGACTGACAAAGTTCACTGCTGAGGGGAGCAGCGGGCGGGTCAGGAGAGGTCTGCCGCGCCCTGTGGGTCACCTCCAGGGCGGGGATCAAACTCGCTTGCAGTGCTGTGCTTTAACCCGCTGTGCCACCAGGGAGGGGTCCATCAGTTTCTTAAGATGCAGACTTTGTGGGGCTCCAACATGCACTCTCCTGGAGGGGGCATGAAGCAGGCATAGAAGCCCATCCAGGTATAGTCAGGGAACAGAGGAGCATGGGGTGGAGGTGGTGTGCGGGGGCCAGGCTGAGGGGGCCTTCGGGGGAGTCCCCTCCTTCAGCCAGGGCAAGATGTGTGCCTCTGGGCTTCCCATCTTTGTTTTTAGGGCATTGGAGGAAAGGACAGTGTGAGCACAGCCTGGGTGCAGGAGGGCCGAGCACCTCACCCCAGCCCATTCTCAGGCATCATGGTGATGGCCTCAGTATTTTCCCAGTAGGACAGGAGCCCCCTGAGAGGTCAGGTCCTTTGCCACCTGCCGAGAGAGCTAGCAACCTGCAGATCTTCAACTAGAAGATCTGCATCCTGAAGATCTTGTGTTTAAACTTCTCACAGCCAAG